TAGCTTTAACTTCACCTAGCAACAACTAAATCCTTGAATCTCTACTTATATTATTGGTGGGATGATCAGGTGCCTGTGTGCTTATATTCCAAGCCTTAGAATATCAAAAACTTTAAGGTTAGTTGAGGTCAAAAGTTTTTTGTTTTTTTTAGAATTCTACAGAATCTATTATTTTTTATACTATTCAAAATTCTGCGGCTAATAATAGCGCTATACAAACAAACACATATATTGAAAATAGTAACAATATAAACGTACGATTGGTCAAAACATACCTCCATATCCATTCGTACAAGCTACAACAACCCAGGAAAGGCCTAGTGTCCAGACAAACCGACTCACGCAAGCGTACACTGCTCCTGTCACCAGTCGAGGTAAATATCCACGATTCCATGCGTAAACTCCAAAAACAACCGCTAGGTTGCAGGTGAAAGCTACGGTCCAGCCCAGAAAGGCAACGATCTGTTTAATACAGGAATAAAAAAAAATAACAAGTGATGGTATATGTTAACGAATGTACTACGATGGTGACAGAGTGAGTGAGTGACTGTACTACAATGGTGACAGAGTGAGTGACTTCACGTTTTGAACGTGCAGTTGGATGGTTGCGAGATCGGCCCGCGTCGCACTGTTGTGTTCTTAAGAAAGACGCTTTACCTTTTATGATGGGTATCAGTTGTTAGCTTGGGGATTAACCTGCGATGGACTGGCATCCCTTCCAGGTAGAATAGGTCATAATTTTCATCCGCTTGTGCCAATTAAGCCGGAGTTCAACACCGGATTCTGTGTGTCATCTCGGTATGGGAGGTATTTGACCTTTGATTGAATATACTATGAAAGCCATATCTTACTTGTAGCAGTTTTCTGAAAACCATATCTTACTTGTAAGAGTTTTCTGAAAACCATATCTTATTTGTAGCAATTTTCTGAAAGCCATATCTTACTTGTAGCAGTTTTCTGAAAGCCATATCTTACTTGTAGCAGTTTTCTGAAAGCCATATCTTACTTGTAGCAGTTTTCTGAAAGCCATATCTTATTTGTAGCAGTTTTCTGAAAGCCATATCTTACTTGTAGCAGTTTTCTTTCATTCATGCGTATAGTTAGATGGAGAGCTAAAATATAAAAAACCTATTATATCTGTATATTCTAATTAACCCTTTGTATGTTTTGATATACAAATATATTTTCAGATTTCCTCACCTTTCAGATAGCCCTCGTAAAAAAATGCATTAAAAACTGTCCTTCACAGAGATGTTTTATTTTCCATTAATTTAGCAACGGCTTCGTTTCGAATTTAAAACACTGCACTCAGATGCTTTAATACTTTTTTTATGAGTTTGAATGATCAGATTGAATTGAATGACTTTTATACAATATGTAATAAATGTCGTTAGAAAACGCTTATTTGTTTGTTTGTTTTAAATTCTACACAAAATTACTCGAGGGCTATCAGCACTAGCAGTTCCTAATTTAGCAGTGATAGACCAGAAAGAAGACAGCTAGTCAATACCACCCACCGCCAACTCTTTCGGTTACTCTTTTACCAACGAATAGTGAGATTGACCTTCACTTTATAACGCCCCTACATTATTTGTCAGATCACATTAAAAACGCTTATTCGTTTGTTTGTTTTAAATTCTACACAAAATTATTCGAGGGCTATCAGCACTAGCAGTTCCTAATTTAGCAGTGATAGACCAGAAAGAAGACAGCTAGTCAATACCACCCACCGCCAACTCTTTCGGTTACTCTTTTACCAACGAATAGTGAGATTGATCTTCACTTTATAACGCCCCTACATTATTCGTCAGATCACATTAATGCCACATGCAGTATGTCACATAATCGTTCAGTTTGGATATGATTTTACCATTATTACTGTGTAAATTACAATTTATTGCTTTTATCTTTGTTACACTCATAAGAGAAAAATCAAACGCCCTGTGCTATTGTTTCTTTTCT